TGCCAATTAGCTCAATACCCAGGTTCAAACAGTTCAAGTGGATCAATGTAGAAATATTAAAATTCAATTCGAATCCGCCAAGGACTTTCACTCTCTCGTTTGGAATAATACCAAAGAAATCATGTTGAAATTGTTGGAAGGTGGTGAAGGTATTCGTTTCTTTCAAACCGTAAATCTCTCGCACCTTACCTTGATCACATTTTTCATGATTCTTCTATTCTGTTTCAAGAGAAACATGTGTTATCCACGGGTGACCCTTATATGTCATCGGATGAATCTACCAACATCGAAGAAGACAAACCTCTTAATCCGTATCAATACATAATTAGGCTAATCAATGATCAATTGACAACCGAAGAGCTTATTCGCGCCGAGAAAGGATTCCCCACGACCAAACGTGAATGGACTGATTGGAAACGTAAAAATAATATCTCTTGAATTCGTTATTTTCTCATGATTTTCTCAGATATTTGCATTCTGGGATAATACTATCGACACAATTTTAATAAAATATGATTCACATGATTTAATATTCCAAAAATGGTTGTGGCTGTGCTTTACGCATATAAATATTGTGTATAAAGTATCCGACTGATTTTTCTTCGTAATCTTGTCTCCTATTCACCAACATTACCGTTTAAAAATTATTTAAATCATCGGAACTAGAATCTCGTGCTGGTTCCTTCAAAAGAAATGTCTACTTCAAACAATACTAATGATTCTCGAGAAAGAATTGTGTTAAATGTGGGTGGAGTAAAGGTAAAAAAAAAAAAAAGAGAGAAGGGATTCTACCTTAATCTTCGGAGTTCATCTTTAAGGTCTCAGTTTACATTTTTATCGTCCTATGCATTTTTTTTTCTTAAAAAAAACAGTACGAGACTTATCGCTCAACATTAACCGCTTATCCCACAACACTACTCGGAACAATGTTCGCTGACCGAAATGAAGCATTACTGCATCCTACAAATGGGAATGAATACTTTTTTGATCGTGATGGTCACGTATTTAGATATATCATGCAATTCTTTCGTACCGGTAAAATTAACTGGTCGGATTCAGTTTCCCCATTAGTTTTGCTACCCGTTGACAAAACTTCTTCTGCCATCGCCACTTACCCGACCTTGGGTATTTCTCGAGAAGAACTTTTTGCAGAGATAGACTACTTTCAGATTCCGATCTCTTCACAAAATGAATCCCAGACAAAACCCTCCCTAGAAAAACAGGCTCAAAAAGCTGCGGCCTTAAGGGTAGATGCGTTTATTACCGCATTTAAAAAGTGTACCTTTGAATCAATGCAAAATTTCGAGACCCTCATTCCTTTCACTTTTCACCGATCGCTAAAAGAAGATCATACTGCTTATTGGGACGAGTATGAAAAGGTGTCGCCTTATGTTAAATTTATTAAACCGTTTGCTCATGTGGGATATGACATTCTGGATAGGTTCGGATCCGAGATTGGAAAGTGTCTGAAAAAAGAATTTGGCGAAGAGTTGGAGTGGAAGTTGGAGAAGCATGTCTCGAGTTCATCAAAAAATGTGGATTATTATAGGTTGGCTATTGGTATACCTGAACATGTCTATGACTCGCAGGGAATTTTGGAAGTCAGTTGCATGGCTTCAGATTGAATTCGGCTAGTCTTATTGATAACGAGATTCGTTCGCTCCAAAAATTATTTACAGTATGTCTACTTAGTACCAATTGCTGCGTCACGCTGGACGCAGTTGTCTATATGATCTTCTTTTGTAGGACAAAGATATTTTGCACGATCTACCAAATTTTCATTTATAACTACTGCTAAACTCAATAAACAAGAAAGTTGTAATTCTTTTATCAATCAAGAAATCCGTGTAACAAATTTGTCCTTAATCATGATGATTTTCCATTAGTTTATTTTATATTATATATATATATAATTTTTTTTTTATGGATATACATTTTAAGATATTCATAGGATTATGCAATACTAAACTATATACTGTATCAACAAAACGATTTTTTTTTTTTTTTTTTACCAATCAAGACTCTTATCACCGCATCCGGTAGAACCACCACATGAGATTGCCGTTCCAACAATTTGTATTACATTTGATTCTTGACTTTTTTTCGCCGCATCTTTTTTCGCCGAATTTTTGGTCACAATCCATTTGCTCGTTCCAAGTACTCGGTCAAGCTCATTGGACGGTGGGAGACTCAGCCAAACATGGTTATCTTCGACTTTAACCTCAAACGTCATGAGCTTCAGCCCGACATCTCCTGATAAACACTCACCGGTTTCGAGAGCAAAATTCTTCTTGTGCATCGGACAACTAACATGTACTACTCCACTTTCGTTGTCGCCAATTATTCCTGTGGAAAGTACAAACGCTCTCTTGTGTGGACACATATTTTGTGTGGC